TTTTTTTCGGTTTTTTTCCTCTTCGCTTTTTTTTTTCTTTTCTCTTTTAATTCTCGGGCCATTTCTTTCTTTCTTTTTTTTTTTTTTACGTGGATACGTGAGCTTGCCAGGTTTAGAATATTTTATGGACTGGAAAATTTTTCTCGAATCGTTTTAGAATTTGATTTTGAAAAGAGACGGGAGGAATTTTATTTCATTCGCGTTTCGAAGATTGGGAGGTGATAAAATTTTTCGATTTTATTCGTTAATAATAGAACGATAGTTCGATCCCAAAACGATTTGGACGGTCGAAAAGTAATCGGTATCACGGAGAGAAAGATGTTTAACGATAGATCGTTCGCGGGCCTTGGAAATTTACCTTGCAAAGTTACCGTTAGAAGATCTTCCTCCCCCTCCTTCTTTTTTTTTCCTTCTTCTTTGCCCGACCATCCGCCGAGAAGTCGAGGAGGAACGTTTTAAAAAAGTTCCCCCTCGAAAAATAAAGGATCGTGGCCGAGGTTTACCCGGGAAGATAAACTTGCTCCTTTTTAAGTTTCATCTCGATGAAGTCCCCTTCCTTCTCCCCCACCGGTGACGGGGCGACCACTGCAGGGCGACGAATCAATCGATAAACAACGTTAATCGCATTATAATCAAAATATTTCCTCGCCCATAATCAGCGATACGTATTCACGGCCCGTCCCTGCCTCGAATGAATTATGCAGAAGCCATCCCGCGGTATAATTTTTATTAACGACGCCACTTCTAATCCCGCAGCCCGGTGTCGTGCACCACCGGCTCGGGGCCCAATCAGAGTAAAAGAACCTGTGTTTTCTCCGTGGCTCGAATATTGATTATCACACAACCTCATTATTCTCCATGGTTTCGACTTTTATTTATCCTTTTTGGCTCCTCCTCCACTCGTGAAATCTCGAGAGAAACCTATTACGCCCGAGGAACGAAACGAGGATGGAAAAAAAAAGAAATTAATTTTTAGAGAACCTCCTGGCAATTTCGCTATCATTTTCACCCGATCATTTTCGTTAACCCTCCAATGGTGATTCTCGTTTGGTTCGATGTCACAATATTTGTTTACGTTCGATCTTTTTAAAATACCCCTTCGCGAATATATCTTATAAAGTATGGATCTTATAATACACTGGTATGGAATGGTTAGATTTTTTTATCTCAAATTAGATCGAACTATATTTTCGACGTTGGCTCGAGTTTGACACAGTTTGGCGATGGAAAGTATTATTTTCAAAGTTTTCGAGTTTTGTAATGAGATCAAGCGAGGATGATTTGGATTTTTCGTTATTGAATCACGAAATTATTTCTATTCGTTAAGAGAGAAGGAAAATAGAGATGTAGTATAAGAAGATGGAAAATAAGATAGCACGTAAGTTTGCTCTTATCGCATGAAACAAGGATACACACTTTCAACAAATTTTCTTTCCTTATACGCGTTCGGTCGGAGTGAATGGAACGAGGCTTGGAATAATTATATAGAGAAACGTGAGAGAGGAATGCGTGTCACGAGGGGTGCAGTTGAAGAGGAGCATTGGATCCAAAACTTCCCCGGCTCGCTTCCTTCTCACTGTCTCGCCCCGCTCCTCCACTTTCCCTTTCTCTCCCCCGCGTCTTCCACCCCCAATTTATCTCTTCCTCTTCTGTGTAGCTGCAGCGTGGCCCCGACAGCCGACAGCCGCAACCTGCGTTCCCGTGCAAACTGTTCATCAACCCCTGACCCCTTCCCTCGCCCCTGTCGCCGCGAAACTGGCTCACCACTCTTCCCAACAACCCTTGCACGACGTTCAACCGGGGGGGCCTGAATATCACTGCAACTGCATTCAACTTTCTCTCCACTCGCTTTCGAGTTGCGCTCCACGCTTGCTGTTCACGCTTCCTCCCTCGCCTCGTCCTACAACTCGTTTGTTCGATTTTTTTTTTTCTTTTTGGAAATTTTTGGTAATTCGATCTTTCTTCTTCTTCTTCTTCTTTTTTACGAGTAATTTGTTATTCTTCTTTGGGATCGTATATTTAACTCTTTGCACTTTATGTTTAAGAAGGTTATCCAACAAGACTACCTTAGAATGTTAAATTATATTGTATAAAATGTAGGATAGGCGAGATATACGAAGCGAGCAATCGTTCGAATGGAACGAAGCATTTGTTGAATGTGATAAAAGAATTCGATGAGAATAATAAACCGCCCTTCGACAATGTTTCGCGAGATATTCGGTGTTTTGCATTTTTCGAAAATCTGGGCCTGGCCGGAACGAAGCGTTGAATTTATCACAGGGTGGAAAGGGGTTAACACGAGCCTCAGCTATGCCGTTCAATTATCATGGCTGGCGCATCATGAAACATGCAAGCCACCCGAGCAGATTGCCACTGATACAGGCCGCGCTATAATTAATTCACCCGTCGCTGCTATCGAAAAAAGTCTGCCCGCCGATCCCCCTTTTCTTCCCTCTTAATAATATTCTAATTATCGGTGATCTGATTATTATCGGCCCGTTCCACACGGCCGACGATCATCCTCGATCGTTCTTCCTTTTTTTTCTTTTTTTTATCGTTGCAATTCCCCAAGAAATTAAAAGAAATTGGTTGGGAGGAGGGGGTAGGTGGTTAGGCGTCGAGGGGACGGCGCCAGACGGGCGCGTACGCATGCATAATTCCGTCTGTTCGGGGACGAAGACGAGAACGTCGTTTGACGTTTAATACAACCGCCTCTCCGATCCTGGCATCGGCTGTTAACCGAATTATGGCGCTGATTCCAGGATCGTCGAACGTATGCCGAACAAATCGTTCGTTCGTCGTGTAAATGTTTTTCCTGTGTCGATTGTAATAATAGCTATATATATATAATAAAAAAAAAGGAAAATTGAAATACAAGTTTGGAAGGAGCGGAGAACAAATTTGCGTATTCCTATTGTTTATTATTTATAACGGTTGAAACTGGACCGCAAACGCTACGCCAACACGATTATCAATTATTAATCCTCGGTGTGTATTTATCGTTGTAGCGGTTTCCGGCAGAACAGTTTGGATGAACGTTTTATTACGCGAGATCTTCGCTCTGGATTTATACGAGGACGGGAAGGATGAGATATGTTGTATCGGTTGAAGTTCATCGTTCTCATCGATACAATCCATTCGTCGAGATAAGACGAGGTGAAAAGTAGAAAGTGGAATTTATGGAACGTCTTTAAACGAGGCTACGTAGTGGGGGCGGAAACAGAGGAAAAGGTTGAAACGTGTGACCCGGCGAGGAAATATAGTGGAGGGCGCGGGGAAAAGATGAATATTCCGGTTTCGACACTCGAGGCAATTTATCGTCGCCTGTCGAGACAGCATTATTCGTGTTCCAGTGAACGCGCGAACTCTCCCGGCGACGATGCGTCTTCCGCGGAGTGGAAATTCGAAATCATGAAGCCAGCCAGCGTGCTGGCAACGTGTTTCGGTCAATAATGCTAATCTTGCATCCGTTCCAACCGTTTGGCCCACGAGAAAGTCCTTTAAAAATGATCCCATCAGATCGATAACACAGTCCTCGATCAGTGCGCTCCCCGATTCCACGACACGTAACTTCAAAGCGATCTTTTTGACAATCCGTCACGGATTATCATCTCATCTAATTTCTTTGCAGGTGTAGGATCCTCGATTCGTATATTTTTCTAACTTTGGTATAAATATAAATATTTTCTAAAAAAGAAAAAAAAGTATCGACCAGTTCGTTTCTTAGAGTCCGCGCGCGAAAGACGAGGAAACGATCGTCTATATATTCTCCGTCTATAAAAATTGTCCAGTTTCAAAGAGTAAAAGAAAAAACAAATCGACATCAACGATATTAATAATTAATTTCGAGAGTTAAAAGTTGGCCCCTTTGCTTTACTAGGCGAGGGAGAAAAAAAAAAAAAGAAAAGGATCCCCGAAAATATCCGGAGACATTCTCAACCAGAAAATTGGCGAAGCGTCGCACGAACAAATAAAATAGCTCCATGAAAATTCACAGCCGCTCCGCGTGACGGCGACGACGAGTGGTAACGTCGTCGTTCGTGCATCAATTAAGTTATCGTTTCTCCCGTGGTGGTAAGTAATATTGGCGTGACCGGGCTGCCTGGATTCCACCCCTCCCCCCTCCATAACGCCATCTCCCTTTTCCACGCCGGGACGCCACCGGGAGCGCTATTAAGACGCGGTGTTCCGCCACCTCTAACACCAACCACCCCGCCGCCCCGCTTCTTCTTCTTCCTCGCTACGCAGGCATCCAAACCGTCGACTTCCCTTCCCTTCTTCCCTCTCCTCCTTCATCCTTGAAACGACGCCACGCTCGTTTCTCGATCGATCTTCATCCGACCGGCTGCTCTACAAGTCGACAAGCTGCCGGTGCTCACGCTTCGACACCTCCGCCAGCCAACTTCCTCCAACCTCCACTCGAATCGGTCCTATTGAATTTTCATACGCCTCTTCTCCCCCGTTTTTTTCTCCTCCTCTCTCTCTCTCTTTTCCTTTCGTCGACTCGCCGCAAGATTTGTACAAGATCTCTCGAGAGTTGTAACAGGATAAACTATGGGCGAATGGATGATTAAAAAAGCTCGGTAAGTTTGGAATATATTTTTTTCTAGGTTAGGTTAGATTTAATTCGAAATTAGGAGAGATATTTTTTATTCTTTCTTAGGACAAAGAGATTATCCGTTGTTCCAAGTGCAAAAGAGACCTTTGAGAAATCGGGTGGGATATGATCGATTCGCGATTGACTGGAATTTTGTTATTGTTTACCGATCCCAAAATTGAGCCAAGCCATTGGAATTGGGTCGCGTGGTGCACTTACGATTCATCAATCTCTCTCGAATACCTCTCGGTGTTTCGTATAACTGTCAGAAGCAGGGATATTCGATTGTTCGATTAGAGCGATTTATCCAAGGAAAGACGAGTCAGGCCTCTCGATTATTCATCAAAATCTCCAAGTCCTCGATCCAAACAAATTCTCCCAGAGACATAACCGGAAATTCTGAATGAATAACGGACAAAACACGACGTCGTAACACGTAACTGGGCATGGAACGTCGAGTTGGTTCTTTAAAACCACCCCCAATACTCTGGAACCCCGATGGGACAGCCCCTTTCGTTAGGCCATGCATTAGACGTAGCTGCCCCGCCGGATATTTCCTCCCCCGTTTTCGATCTCCGTGGCTTCCGCGCGCTCGTAAATCCCTCTTCCCAGGCCCAAAGACACTGTGTATGTCGACACGTAGGCCACCAGTCGAAGGTACGACCCTCCAGCGTCCGGTTTATCTTGGAAATGTCCGCAGACCCCCGATGGAAAGACTCGTAACCCCCTGCTGGTGGTGGTGGTGGTTACGTCGAACAAGATAAAAGGTTCTTCACTGTCCAAGTCGCGCGAAACGTGCCCGTGTAAAGAGGTTAGCTTTTATGGTTGCTCTTTAACTCAGTGAAGCAGGAGGAGGCGAACAGTTCGATGAAATGTTCTTTCGCCAGTTTCGGGATAGGTCTTTAAACGAATATGCTCGGTTTTATTAAATTATTTATTGTTAAATGACGATCTTTACGAAGATTTGTTTTCAATTTGGTTAGTTTAAACGAAGGATTCTTCTTTTAATTGTATCTCGATTTGATAATCTTTTTTATTATTAAATAACGATCTTTACGAAGATTTAATTAATTTATTTATTAGATTGTATTGAGTTTCAAGTTATTTGGAATTTAAAAGATAGCGTTAAGATTAAATCGATAGGGCAAGTATGACTTTTGAAGCGTGAACGTTTAGATGAACTTTGGGAAATGGTTAATTAACAGAGACGTGATATTTGTTTTACTTTGATCGTTAAAAATAGATTGGTCTGCGCGCGGATGCGATTAAGTGAATTTATCGGTGATCGAATGAATACGAATGAATCATTTGATTATTAAATTTTACACGGATACTTTGGTATCATATTTTCTTTCATCGAAAATCGCGTTGATGTTTAAACTTGGCGTTCGAAATATAACATGGTATAATCTCTCTCGTGACAATTTAATTATCATAAAATTATCGAAACGGATTGAAAGAGACGGATTGATCGTTACAAACACATTTATAAAAATATCCAATAAAGAAGCTTAAAACGATTCAATAAATTCGCAGATAATCTCGATTCCTACCGATTTTTAATATCTATTAATCCGAATCAAAAAAAAAAAAAAATAGGAAAAGTATATTTTACCACTGTTAAAATCATCAATTCTGAAAAATACGAAATTTACGAATATCTCTCTTTCCTCTCTGATTCTAAAAAAAAAAAAAAATAATTAATAACAATTCCATCACACCGTTTAACCGTCCATATCCACTCGTTACAATTTCATTTCTCTGGGAATCTTCCCAAAAAAAAGAAAAAAAAAAGTTGTCCACTTTATGAACACATCATCCGCGATGAAAACGTTATAATTATCCGTGTTAACCTCGACGCGCGACACTGGTCGGCGAACGGGTTAAATGAACCCGAAATTATTTTATTTTGAACAAATATTTCGGCTCATTAAGCGGCGCGATATATTTTACATAATGTGATTATGCGTCAGGCCACGGTGAAATTCGGCTGAGTTTATCCCCGCGGCAAACAAGTCATCGCTAATTCTCCCGGCGACCATGCGCCACGATTTCCCATAAGAATTGCACACGTGAAACGTATTAATACGCGTCTGCCCAGTTAATGAATACGTATCGTCCGCTTCACCAGAACAGAACGGTAAATGCGTGAAAACGACACTATTGACCCTTGCTTGCTTTCAGACTTTCCTTCCTTTCATGGCAACAGATATCATTGCGATAAATACTCTTTCTACCTGCAAACGGAACTGTTAGTTGGCTAAAAAATGGCTTAAATTCGTGGTGATATTTGAGCAAGAGTATCTGTGCAATTTACGAGAGTTTTCTTTTTCGTTTCGTTGAAATTAGAATGCGTGAAAACGACACTATTGACTCTTGTTCGCTTCCAGACTTTCTTTCCTTTCATGGCAACAGATATCACTGGGATACTCTTCACTTGCAAACGGGGCTGTTAGTTTATATATGCGTGTCTATCGAAGCTTTTTTCTTCTAAAAATGGCTTAAATTCGTGGTGATATTTGAGCAAGTAGTATCTGTACAATTTATGAGAATCTGTGGAATGCACGAAAGCTGGCCAGTTGATTTTCTTCTTCGTTTCATGGTTCGTTGAAATTAGAATGAAATTTATTGATAATAAAACTGACGATAAGTAGAAACGTGGAAAAAAGTAATTTCAAATGTTACTTTACTTTCCATTTCCACTCACCGATACTAGGAGGATACTAAGGACGTTCTAAGCCCATGAATCACTCAAGAACTTGCCTCGCTTTCTAATACCGAATTACTTCGCATCAATCCTCGATTCGAACGAAACAGGGCAGCGAAATCGCGCCATCAAGCCTAAAGAGACCTAAATTCCGCTTGATCGAAGCGAAGATCTTCCTATTCAATTTCACCGGTCACCGTGATACACCGTCGCCCGTCTTGTCCTTCGCTCTCAGGATCGTGGAAATGGTCCCCATGAGGCGGGTCTGACCGATGACCGTTGGAGGGCGGCTAGCCGGCCGGCCTACAGATAGCAACCGCTCACAGTTGTCGTGGACAAAAAGATCGGGCCTTCAGGCATTTGGCCAAACGAGCAGGCCTGGTCTAACACGTGAGGCAGAGAGAAAGAGAGAGATAGAGAGAAAGAGAGGTGGCCACCACGATCCTCATGCAGTGAAATTGATGGCCAGGACAGAAGTTTAGTGGCCGTCTATATATCTTGGTGAACGAGGCAAGAAAAACGGTGGAAATAGGGGGAGGGAAGCCAGGAGAGAAGAGGTCACCCTCATCGAGTCTCGAGGCTTGTAAAGTATCCGACACACGATGAGAATATCGTGTGCCACGATATTTATGATATTTTCGAAACGGGAAATGCGGAGTGAATATTTATCACGAATGATCGAGTTTAGAACCGAATAGAAATGTTAATGCGGCAAGTGATCGAGTCTTGAATGATAAAGATTTGCATCGAAGCAATTGAACTATTTGAATAATAGAGCAGTCATTTAGCAACAATTCCACGGAATTCTGATAATAGTTTTAACGATAAATTGAATTTCAATGGATAAGTATGGATGATT